CAGCGCCAGCGGGGCTTCTAAGGGTCTAGGCCCGGGGAGTTGCTGTCCCTGGCTGAGGAGGAGCCAGGTTCAGCGGGGTGGGTCCCCTTTGTTCCATCTGGGTGGTCGAAGCAGGCCTAAGACTATGGTGCTGCTGCATTTGTCACCAGTGAGGCCCACAGAGCCCAGGCCCTTTGCTGGGTGATTCTCGAGGAGTGTCCCAGGGCCTCGCCAGGCGTTTGTAATTGCAGGGGCAGGGGTGGTTAGGTTTCCTCTCAGCTGGCCTACATTTTTTTCCTTCTCAGGTTTGGAAGTCAGTAATGACAAGTACAATACTCTTGTATCCCCTTTGCAGCTCTTCACCAGTCAGATGAAGTGTGATTTCGACTCTACCATGTAGTTTCCTGTGACAAATCTGCTCTTTTCTCCTTTTTTTGTGTGTTAGGAAGTTGCATAGCCTCACTGCAGGACTGCAGAGCTGAGTCTCAGGGTATCTGATAAAACTGACATCCACACTCTGTGTATTTCAAAGAGGTATCTCAGAATAGTTCTGTTCTGGTCCTATGTACTGAGTCCCCTTAACAGCTGGGGACACACTTGGTGCATTCCTGGAGTGCATCTTCCAGTTTACTTTTATCCAAAACTTGGCTTGTACACTCCAAAACTGCTCCATGATGCTACCAGAGCTCAGTAGATAGGTACTATCAGGAGACTTGCTTCAGAAGGTGAAATCACAGTGTGAACTGTAATGTTAATGGCAGCCTCGGCCTTTGTGGACTGCCGTAAAATAAGAGAATTAGCACAATTTTTCCTTCTGTAAATGATCCAGTGGAGTTATTTATTTTGTCAACGGAGATAACTTGTGAAATGATGTTTAGAGTTTGTCTGAATGTGAAGTGACAGTACAGCATTCATATAAATATATGAATCTATTTTGACTTATAGCACACAGTCTTTCTTTTCAAGGTTACCAGGATTAATAAGAGTTAATGATTCTGAGTGGCTAGCTCTGTTTGCGTATGTTCTCATGTTTCTTACTTGACCAAATTAACCTTTCAGTTAGCCACTACTACCTGGACACTCACTGGGAGCAAATTGCAAAGGACTGTTCTGGTGTCCTCTTTTGTTTAAGAAGCTGTTGTGAGCGGGTGTGTCCCTTCCTTGTTTCCTTACAAGGGTAACTTGCATGAGAACAGCATCATCCGCACTGTCCCCAGGTCAAGGTTGAATGATCCAACGTAAACAAAGATACAGTGCAAGCCCACATTTGTTGTGATATCAGAAACAATGATACAACGTTAATCTTGGAAATCTTAACATCTAGATCTTATTGTTGAGTATTTTCTCATGTAGTAATAAAGATTAATGCTATTTTTGTTGCTAGTGTGTTACCTGCAGCTCCTCTGAAGCTGAGTTTCCAGTCTGATAATGTTCCCAGATTATTCTGCTGTTCTAGCTTTAGATTTGATCTCTGATCTCAGGCAAGGTAGGAGAATGCTTCAGTGTATCTCTGTGAACAAATGCATAAAGTCCCGCATATCCTTTGTTTCTCCAAGTAAGAGAATAGCTGAAACTTAAGTTCTTTTGTTTATAAACATGTAACTGTGTACACAGCAACAGCTAACTTGGGAAAATGGGATTTAAGGCGGAGCAGGTGAACTGTGAAGCAAGGATCCATGCTTTCTGAGCATAGTGGTTTTGTGTCGCAGGCATGTAGGAATGGAAGCAGCCATTGCACAGAATTACATATTCTGTTTTAACAGTTTTGGAAGTTTTTCTCTTTGTTGAACGTCACTTTATTAGTGGCGCTAAGTTCAAATAATGCTCCTGGTTGAGTACTGCTGTTGACAGTGATAATTTCTGCTATTTCGGAGCTGTAAACCATTTTGAAGTGGCTTCAGTGTCCTTTTTTGTATAAAAAAGGTAGTTTGGGAATCCTTGCTCTAGGATGATCCCCTTGGTAAAGCAGAGGCTACAGAAACAAAACCTTGAGTGACCTGTATCGATATTCCTTATCCTAATAGGGTTTTTTCTTAAAATTCCATCATTTTTGCAGCAAAGTAAGCTGATTTTCTCTTAACTTTACTTCAGCAGGAAAAAAAACAGGATACAAAACATTGGGTAACAGTGTTGCGATTTTTTTTTTTTTTTGCTCAGTTTTCTCTGTTCTACCTCATCCAAGTCCATTTGAACGCTGTTAAGCACAGTAACCCCGTTCCCATCTCTCCCTGACTCAAAAATAGGATGTCCACCTTTGTGGTAGCTTCCTGTTGAAGCATAATATTTTTATCATGAATCTAGGTGCAATAAACATAATTTGATGGTTTTCGTTACGATGTTTTTGTAATCAAGCTAACAGTCAAATAAAAGCATGCTGTATCTGTTGCTTTGCTCTTTTCTCCTGAGCCAGGTACCAGATCAGTGAAGGAAATCAAACTGTGGCATGATTGGCAGTTGACAGACTCGCTCTTCACTTTTCATCAATTTATTATCTTACACATATTCTTAACTCAATTAATAATTGGTTCAATGTTGTTTTGGTGGACCACAGTTAGGATGACTGCTTTGGATTGCAGATGCCTGAGGAAAGAAGTCTTGCTTGGTTTTTTCCCATCGTCTCAGCCTCAGTGGACGTATGAAGATAACTGATAGGCTGAGTGCTTTCTGTGTGATGGGTTTTTTTTTCTTAAGTAACTTCAGATGAAAGAACTGAGGCTTGAATTGCTATTTTGTCTGGCATGTGTAGTCTGTTAGTGAGATGGGGTTACCTTCATTTCATTGGTATACAAAAACTAATGTCATTCAGTTTAAGATTTCATGCTGGGCTGAATGCCATGGTCTTTTATGTCTCTTGGATTTTCTGCATGTATGCAATTGCTTCTCTTTGGCCAGGGTATTATATCAGAAAGGAAGTGCCGTGGGACTAACAGGGACTGGATATTTTGTAGAGCTGTGTCTGGATCCTTAACTTATGTGTGCTGGCTTTGCAAGATTAACTGCTCTGTTCCCCAGGACTCCAACCTGTTAGGGTTTTTTCTTCAGAACTAGAATCTGTCTTCAGTGATTCACATCTTTCTTTTTTATTTTCTGCTTACAGATGATATAATTAAACTGAACAAGAAAGAAGAGAGAAAGCAGTATTCCCCTAAAATGAAAAGAGGGCTTCAGCAGAATCGAACTCGACAGTTCAGGACACCAGGCTCCAAGTGGGAAATCCAGCAGCAGAGAGGTGTGTACACCAGACATAATGTGGATTGTGCAATATTTTTTTTGAGCTGAATTGTGACTTAATGAAAATGTATGGGTGGACATGGTCAGTTCAGGCGTCTTTCAAATAGTGTCATGTGCAGTTTTGATTATAATTTGGTTTTTTGTGATCCATATATGTTCGGTTTTGTTTCTGGTTCAGTGTGAGATCTTCATTGACACATTTGGCCAACAAGGAGCTTAGGTGCTTGGTAGACTCTGTTTGACTCAAGGAAGGATTTGCTTTCTGATTTTTTAAAATTTATTTTAATTTTGATACCTCTTCCCTCCTCAGAGATGGTTAGAAAGAGTATTTATGCCAAAGCCTGTATATTAGGAGGCCTTGCCAGAGCTGAGAGCTTTGTTCAAAGAGCCAGCATATTTATATTTGCTAAGTAGAATTCTCTTAGCAGGCCTCCTCAGAATAGCTGTTACTGCAGACTGTAACGCTGCCTCTGGGATATCAAGTGGATAGTTCAGTGTGGCTGACTCGGCTTTTCTTGTTAAGAGCTTGGAATGCAAAGGAAGTACAGTGTCAGCCTTCTTAAGCCAATGTTTTTACAGTGGAATACACAAGTGGGAAAAAAATCATACAGGCAGGGAGTGAAGAGAGGAAAAGTGCATGATGACACCTTTACTGTAGATCCCCTGAGTAACTGTCGGGTTCTTTTTATGAACAGGTGTCATATTCTAAATGATTCCCAGGTTTTAGTCTAGCACGTGGCCAGCACCTGCTTGAAATATAGACTGGTTTTGCTTATGTTTAATTTTGAAAAGTACCTTTATAGTGCTGGATTATCAAAATGTGCAAGAATACTGTCTAACCAGAAGGCTTACCACCTCAATCCAAGCTATGGAAGTGTTGAAGTTAATACATGCAATTTCTTGTTTAGTAGCATTCATTTAAAACAAATGCACATCCATCTGGTGTATTCAGGGATCCTCATTTTGCCTTTGTTGTTGCTTAATATTTGTTGTAGCAGCAGCTCGTAGTGAGCATCTTAGACACAAATGTCTTTGGGGATTAGGAGAATGTCGCGTTGCTCAGGGCTCAGAGGAGTTTTGGTTTTCATACAGGAGTATTAACAGAGCAGTGTTAATTTGTGCATCTTGAGAAAATTGGTGATGGGGCAGGAAAATATCTTACATCAGTCAGCCCCAAGTGTGAGAATATTTGTGTAGGTGAAAGTGGAAGTGAATTTAAGTTGTAGATTATCAAACATGTAGGCTCCTATTTATGACCGCAGTTGTCAAATGCAATTGTTAATCATCCAAAGGGCACAGAATAAACATGTATTAGAATTGCAAATTTTAGGAGGAACTTGAGCTGCAAATATAAAACTAAATACAACTGTCTTGGCAGTTACTTTTCTCTCCTGGAACCTGTCCTTGTTCTAGGAAATAGCAAAGTTGGTTTCCTCCCCCAAAAAATTGCCAGATTCATGACATGTTGAAACACTGTGAATAGCTTTAGCTGCTCCCTCCTATACAGCTCCACACGTTTTCTCCCATTGGAAGCAAACCTCGTTTCTGAGCAGAAGGTATCATTAAATAGTTCTTCTGAGCATTTTGGTTATTAGTAGCTTATGACCAATAGATTTTTTGCTGCTCATTGCCACTGAAGTTATTCTGATAAATAGCAAATCCTCTCTTTGTGGACAGCTACAGAAACCACAAATGATCAACAGCGTTCGGTTCCCTGTGGTATTAGAATTGGCTGCCAAACTCTCTGGAAAGAAGCAAGGAACTTGAGCTGGGACTCTTTTCAGTTTTTGCAGGGAGAAACAGAGAGAAGAACATTGTTCATTTAAATAAAAGTTGTCCTTGGTGATACACGGAATGCAACTGCACAAAACCCTGTGCAGCATGAGCTAAGGTTTTCATTTATTGAAGCAGAGGTTGGTCCAGAGAGCTTGTGAGGTCCCTTTTAGCCCAAGTAACCCTCTTTCTTAGCTTTTCTATTTGAAAAGAAGAGCATTTGCTAACCATTCACAAAATGTGGGTACATAGCAGATTCTCCATGGCAAATGTATCTACGCTGGGTTCTGCTCAAGGGGTTACCTCATGTGCTGGCTCTCATCTCCCAAAGAAGCACAGATTTATTGTCAATGCTGTGAAGTCAGGTATGCCAAAACTAGATGTGTCTGCTGCTGTAGAGCTGACTCTTTAGTCTTAAATTTATGTTGCGGCCTGAGGTTCTAAAGGGGATGATAATTGGGAATAAAACTTCACTGTGGTCTGTGTTCATGGCATGAAGCTAAATGGCTCCAGACAGGGTTAACGAAACCCTTGTAACTGGAGATTTGAGATATTTATACTACAGACCTCAGACTTACAAGCCTTTTATATTGAAAGGCTGCTTTCAATTCTCAGTTTCATCCAGACTGCCATGCAGACATCTAATTGAAATCACTTTAAATGTGATGTAATTCATACGCTGTTTAACATGGTTTTGTGACCCAATTGCTGCGTTCTTTTTTCTTAAGTCATGTCTTGGGAACCACTGATCTAAATAAGCTTTGAAGTTGCCTTTTTTTTTTCCCTTTTTTCTAAATTAAACTGGTAATTTTAAAGTTTACTGAATGGGTAGGAAGCTGGGATTTTTCTGTTGTTTTGTTTTGGTCTTGTATTGATTAAGCACTTGATGAAGTTCCATTTCCGAGTGTTTTGGTAGTTTTCTATGTCAGAATGACTCTTAAATTGACTGTAGATATGTCAAATAAAAATTTTCACAGACATTAATGCAATGATCTAGAGCAAAACTGTGATCTGTATGAGAAGCTGATCATTGTTGTGCTAGGGCTTGGGCCAGACCTGCTAAAATAACCGAATGACCAAATTGTCATCAGATGTAGTGATAGCTTCTGCTCTAAGACTTGAAGAAGTGTGCAGCCAAATAACTTGTGTTGCCTGCATAGCATCTTAAAAGCTTTTTCTTTCAATAGGAATTGTTGAACTCTTCATGATTGTTCCAGGTTATGGTAAAAATCGTTTGGGACGCAGAAAGAAGATAGGAGGGAAGAAGCGTTCTTACGGAGTTATAACTGGCTTGGCAGCCAAGAAGGCAGTGGGTTCACGCAAAGGGATCAGTCCTCTCAACAGACAGCCGCTTAGCGAGAAGGTAATTAATGCCATTTTAGTGGTTCAAATGTAAGAACAGATTAAAAGAATGAAACACAACAGAACAGTGCAACTGAAATATAAGATAGAATCATCTGGTACAACCTTTTATTAAATCAAGGATTTGTTAGCTGAGTTCTTGTTTGTTTTGAGGGGGTATTAATGACTAGGTCTGAAAGTTTTTTTTAAGGCTGCAAGTCATGAAAATTGAAGTACAGAAGTGTGTTCTGTACAAGTATAGAGGTTGTTACCGTATTTTTACAAGAAAAACTCACTCATTAGGATTTCTTGTCTTTGCATTGCTTTGTTACAAACCAGTAATTCAGCCAACATGCAGGTGTTAAGCATGTGTCTGTTACAAAAATGGAAGTTTTCACAAAATACTTAACTCCTTCAGCAGGCTCCTTCTTCTGCACTACTCCAGTGCATTGTTGCCTGCTCCATTTCATTCAGTATTGTAGAACGAGGATTGCCTTTGGATTTGTGAAGAACAGTAATTTATTTAAAAAATGTGTGGAGCGTGTGTTTTGTCAGTTTAGGGAGATGGAGTAATCATAAAGTACCTGTTAAGCTCTGCTATTTGTTTTTTCCCTGGTAGCGAGGGGCATATAGAATTCATAAAAGTGCAGAAGGTATTTTCAAATTATGCTAGACTGTGAAAGGTAGGCAGAGGCAAATGCATTCGATATGCAGTTTTTAAATAGAAATTGAATGAAAAGTGTTTGTGTGTATGTAGTATACATATGCTATATATGTTTACTGTTGTTTTAAGAATGCACAGCGCAGTTACCCAGTTTTGAAAAAGAAAACAAACCTGCAGAGACAATCTGAAATGCAGAGAAAACAAGCTCCAGCCCTCAGGAGGCCTGCCCCTCTAAACAGAAGGTAAAGTACCAAGTCTGCTTTCTGAACTCTTCTTGACAGCTTTCCACAGTGAGTCGTGTTTGACAGACTGAGTCCGAGAGGAGATGTCAAGTACTGGCCATAGTAATACAGTCAACACTGTCACGTGTATGAAGTTCTACAAACCTGGAAGCCAAGCATGGGACAAACGTCGTCTTGATACACATTTATTAATACATTTATTATTGTGTAGAGCACTCAGGAGGTACCTCTGGTTTTACCTTATATTCTGCCTTCATTTAAGTCATAGGCAGCCTGTATGGAAATGGCCAGCTTGGATTTCGATGGCTTTGAAGTGGCAGCCATGGTTTAGTGAAGTTTTTAAGTACAATGCTTTTATGGAAGCTGGTGCCATCTTCAGTTTCATTCAAGCTATTGCATGTTGTATTTGCACTGGAATTAATGTGGCTGTTATGAAACTGCAGCTTAACTGGTTTCCATGACGAAAATTTTCACTATGTGACTCTAATGTGGAAACTGTAAACAAACTTTCTTTTTATCTAATCAGCAGTGTTTAAAGTACTGGAGGATACTGAGCAAAGTGGAAAAAACAGAATTAATAACCATACTCCCGTGGCATAGGAGTGCTTGGCTTCTATGAAACAGCAGTGATTTCTCCATTTATGAGTAATGTGTTTGCTTTCTGGTAGATGAGAAGCTTGTTGCAACTGAAATACTTGGCCTCAAAGAGGCACCATCTCCTTAGGGATGTATTGGGCAGTTTCCTGACTTTGATAGTGGTGTCTCTAAGATGTTATCTGTGGAGCCTTTGATAATTGTATTTAATAAATATTACAGGAATAACATGCCATCCACTTTTGCCAGAATTGGAAACAGACTAAATCAGCAGAAAGACACTCGTCAAGCAACTTTCCTGTTTAGAAGGGGCCTGAAGGTAATAAATAAATTGTGGAAACAACAAAATTGTGTCACAGATTCTAAACTAACTTCTAACACTGATAATAATTAATGAACTTTGAATACCACTTATGTGTAGAAACTTGAGGTGAACTGGGAAATAGGCACGATTTCTTTTAGGGAAATGTATTTGTCTTCTTCCCATTAAGTCTTGCTTCCTGTTCTAGTTTAGCTGGACTGTTCAGAGGGGCATGGCACTTGTCAGAGTGTTTGAGGATAGTTGCAAGCTATTAATTTTTCCTTTCAAAAGTAAATGTTAGCTTTCAAAAGTTGCCTTTGGGTAAAGGATAGAGCAGAAACATGTTTTAGAATCTGATTGTTTTAGTTTTGTTGTTGTTGTATTTTGAGGGTAATTATTTTAGTTATTTAAGGATTATTTTTTTTTTAGTTATTTTGAATATTATCAAGAGATTAGAGAGTTTGCAATGAATTATAGTGGTGGTCTCGGTTTTCATTTGTGCCCTCATTCTACATCTGTCATCGCTGTGACCGTAAGTGGCTGCTGTCTTCTGTCCACATGGATTGCAGAATTACAGACAGGATGAGGAGGAAGACAAACAAAACCAAAATCGTTTAAAACAGCAGTGGGACTTAGTGACGTAATGGATATTATGTGTGTTAACATTGATCATGTTAGAAACTAGCCAGGTTTTATCATGTTTAAATCATCTTGTGTTCTTAAAGTGATTTTTTTCTGATGTCTTATGGAGGTAGTAGGACAGGTGTCTCTCAAGTCCCTCTGAAAGTACAACCCCATTTGTGCAGAGTGCACAACCAGCTTTAAGCTTCTCCTTTTGAACTTCTGTATTTCTAGCTGCTACAGTGGGAATTGAAACAGTATTCAAATCCAGTGTCTGTATTGATGTGTTTTCAGGTGCAGGCCCAAGTGCAGTCAACAGATGATCTTGATAATCAGACAGTAAAGAGAACTCGTCAGTAAGTATTTAATTTGCAAAACTTCGGTTTGGTTACTCATATGATTCTCACTTTAGTTCTGGCTTCCTGGCTATGATAATTGTGGGGGTTTTTTTCCCCTGTAGGCATATGAACTGAGTGACAGTGATCTTCCCCTGTTCTCCTTTATTTCCTACGTTATCTTCTGATTTAACCAGGAGGAGTTTATTTGCATAAGACGCTTGCAGGGATGAGGGGAAAAGTGGTAGCTTCAGAGGATCAGACTAGTATCTACCACTCATGAATACTGCATAGGCTGGAAGAAAAATTCAAATGTTGGTGTTTTCCTGAGCTCCTAATGTAATTTCAATTTTATTTAACATGCATGTAAGCCTGTGAAGCAGTTTGGAAATAGGCAAGGCAGGCTACGGAGTGGACACTCAGCTCTCCTCCCAAATTATTCTTCCTATATCATTCTGTGCCTGCTAGGCTCTTTCCAACTTGTTTGTTGGTAACAAAACAGGCTGAGTGAGCAGCATATGCCATAGACTTTGTCTGTCACCTCTTCGATTTGCTGTGAGAACCATTTTTGCCCCATCTGTGGCAAGGAAACTGAATGTTTTTTAAAAAGTGCACATTTCGGTCAATGCTGTTGTTCTGGTACACCTTGCCAAGCACATGATCTAGCAGTCGCTTGAATAGGTTTAAATAATGCAAAAGATACAGGGATCAATAGCTACGCCAGTAGATTGTTTGACTGCACATGGTCTTCGTACTGGCCAATATTCTAAAAGCTTGTACATACTTTACTAGCTAGTATTTTGGACACATTTAAAGATCCTCTGACTGAAATGTCTGCGTTTTTGTTAGTGATTTCTGTATTTTCAAACTAGATGGCGAACTTCTACCACGAGTGGGGGGATCCTGACTGTGTCTATTGACAACCCAGGAGCAATCATAACCCCAATGTGAGTTTTCCAAAAAAGTTCTGTATGTCCTTAACATAACTGAAATCGCTGTTCTGAGCCATTTAGCAAGTTCTTGCAGCCAGTATTTCAGGTGGCCTCAAGGTCACAACTTTTTGTGAAGGCTTTTAGATCTGGCCCCTTTCTGAGTGTTTCTGAGCTGTGTTTGAAAAAAACCACAGCTGGATTTCACAAGGCATCTCCCAGTTAGGAGACTGATGTGTATGGAGTTGAAGTGTTGTAGGCAGATAGATTTTCACCTGTCCAAATCAAACTGTATTGCAGATGTTTTCTTCCCCTGTCTGAATGAAAATGAGCATCTAGTTGATAAGTAATGGTAATGATTCTTCCCTGATTCATAGCGATACTGTTAAGAGTTGTGCTTAAAAAAGCATTGCTGTATTTGTCTTTAGGAAGACGATGGTACTGTTGTTTCATGAGGTTTTTTTTATCTTAAAAAATCTCTTGAGTAGCTTTTTTCCATTAGTAAGATTTTATCTGTAAGGAAGACTGTACCAATGTTCAGTTTTGGTATTTATGGGAACAATTAACCGCAAATCATGTGTTTGCAAATCGTGCGTTTGTCAGTAGGATTGAGAGAGAAAAGATTGCTTGCTGTTGGGACACTTGCTGTCTGAGTTACAGTGTAACAAATGCTACCCTTTCATAGTTCTGTCTGACTTTTACCTTCTTGAATTTGTGCCCTCCAGCTATTTAGCCAGCCTGATCAAATAACTTGATGAAAAACTAATACTTCTATCAGCATTAAGACTTTACTGCATAAAACACATATTCTTTGTGTCTTTTGTAACATTCTTCTTTCACAGCTCCCAGAAGTTACGATTAACTCGTACTCCTGTGCCACCATTTCTGATGAAGAGGGACCAATCTGAAGAGAAGAAGATTCCCAAAGGGGTTCCACTGCAGTTTGATATTAACAGTGTTGGAAAACAGGTGAATGCAGTTTCTTTCCTTAACTGTGGAAGTAGTTTCAAGACATAAAAGCCAGGGAGGCAGGCACTTTCCTCATAGTGATAGAAAGAGGGAACTAGTGACTACTTCTTGTTTCCACTTCCAGTTCTTCCACTAACTTGCATTGTAACTTCAAGCAACTAAACTCACCGTTCCTGTTCCTCTAGTTCATGTCTTGCATGTCCACTGGCTTTAAATGGGATTTAAATTGTTGAGTATTTCTAAAAGGCTTCTGGTGTTTCTGCTCTGCTTGAATCGGTGAGCGTGCGTAATTCAGGGATGAGCTGCTTTCAGTTGTGTAACCTGCCTGGAGCCCTGGCAGCTGAATCTATAAGACAACTTTTGCCATGCACCTAGGAAAAAAAAATCGAATGTGATGACATAAAGGCTTGAAAGATGAGTAATTTTTCACCGGTTTCATGAAGACAGGTGATTTGGTGCAGGAATCTTACAGGGTGACAGAGTTAGGTGCTGTTCACGTAAGGGAACTCACTGCCAGCTGTAGAAAACTACATGGGGTCAGGGCCTCAGTCTGGATTTGTTCCATGAATAAGCGGTATGTCAAAATAGTTTACTACTATGTTGTAAAATTAGTTGAACTTTTGGGCTAGACTCCAGTCTGCTGCTGCAACTGGATGGACTGGAAAGCAACCTGCATTAACACGGTTAAAATGCTGCATTTGTTGAAGTTGCATAGAATCCGTGTGGGGGAATGTGTAGTGAAGGTTCCCTTTTTTAGTCTGTCTGTTCTCAGTTTAACTTACGATGTTTTGAGTAGGCTTTCAATCTTGATACTGTGTGCCGTGTGTTAATGAATTCTAAGAAATGCTAGCTCTTGATACACAGTCCAATATGATTTTTAAATGATGAAATCAAATTAAATGTCTTTGGTTTTTTCCCTTATTGAATTCAAGTGAGGCAATTAAGAAGTCAAGTGATAATATGGAATGAGGAAAAAATTGTCTCTATTACTTCAGTTAAATTAACCTAACACCTTTTAAATTTATGGCTTTATTTTTCAGACAGGGATGACGTTGAACGAACGTTTTGGGATCCTGAAGGAACAAAGAACAGCACTGTCTCAGAACAAAGGAAGCCGTTTTGTAACAGTGGGCTAACCCGACAGATGGACTTGAGCACTGATCCCACCTGCCTAAGAAACTGAGATAAAAGTGGGCAAAAAACACAGCATACATCACTGAAACTCTCCAGACTTCTCTCTAAGATGGTGGCAGAGCTATCTATCTTTAAGATTTTTACTTTGAATGGTAAAAGACACAATGACCTGAGGGGGAATAAGTGGGAAAACTGATCCACTGGAGCGGCACCATCACTTGGTTGGAAAAGATTCTGTTGCCCAGCTGATGACAAACGCTGATTTTGGTTCCTCTTGCAACCAAAACACAAATTTTAAGAGTTTTTTCTTTGTTTGCTAGAAGTGCTCAGTATCTGTTTTATTTGACCCCTCTGTTATGGTAAAGATTGTGTTTCATTACAAACCCCGTTTTAGGGTTTTTTTAGGGACTGTCCATGAAGTTCCCCTTGGACTACAGCTTGGCAGAGAGCCTTAGTCCGCGAATACTTTGGTAGGGATGTAGCGGCATTTTTCATGGGAGCATTGGTTGTATTTTTTCTTTGTTTTGAAGTTCAGGTTTGTTGGGTTTTTTTCCGTTCTTGAAAACAAAATGTTTAGCATCCTCACTTTCACAAATAAAGCTGTTAGCTGAGATCCAGAATATGTAATTGGGATGGAGACCATTCTACTCTTATCCTTAAAAGTGGTCCAGATCTTGTTGGGGGAATACCACACAGGCAGTGTCAGAGTAATTTACATTACAGATAGCTCAAGTTCGTCATCCTCCTCTGTAGGTGGAGTATGTCTGTGCTGTTTTTTCTTAAATTTTTGCTTTCTGTTTCTTTTTTCAAGTTGTTTTTTTCCCACAAACTTAATGCAATAACTTCACATTTTTTAATAATTTCATAGGAATAAATACAGCAGTTCAACAAGAAACTCAGTGGTATGGTAGAGTTCCTTACCTCCCAGACACAGGATTCTACTCTTGCATACCTTGCCCTAAAGGGTTTTCTCTGGCTCTTACAAATAGCACTTGTTTGTGTATACCAAAGAGAGGTGAGAAGCGAAGCCGATCAGAAGCAATCAGATATTTTGAAAATGGTTGAAATTGGAAAACGTCACTGGAGGAAAGCCCTCAGTTTGCCAGCACGTGCGAGGCATTGAGCAGGAGCTTGTAGTCACTTATTTTACGCTTAACTTTATGCGTCAGAATCTGCAGGATGGTGACAACTGAGGCATCCTCAATGTGAGTTTATGTGATCCCTGAAAATCTTGACACCTATTCAGAATTGCTTCCAGACCAGGAACTGATTAACTTAACACTGCTATAGCAATGAGATTTAGGTACAGTCAGATGAAGGAATGATTGGTTGCTGCATCCAGAAATGTTTATGGTGCTTGAAGTGGGTTTAATTCCTTTTATTGTTTTTGAAGAATTTACATTTGACTTCTTATAGAGTTGGTTTCCTTGCATTTTTATCTCAAATTCCAAGGTAACTAGCATTTACCAGAAACTTCAATGTTGAAGAGCATTTGATAGTAGAAGGACTTTTGTTCATATAGCAGTTTTAAAGTCAGAGTGCATCCTTGATGCTATATAGTACTTAAACCCTTATTTTTAATGTTAAAAAATATACCTTAGCAGAAGCAAACTAAACGTAATGGTGTTAAGGTTTTTTTTTCTTAATTACTGGTAGGATTTTTTTTAATGTCCCACCGTTAGAATTGGAGTAGATGAAGTGTTGTCAGTCATCCCGTTTCAGTGTATACATTTTCCATGTGCCAGGATGCAACAAAAAAATCCTTTTGCATCAGCGTAGATGCAAAACATTGATGCAGTGCATCAAAAATGCTAGTTTGTATTTAACGAGAAGATGCTTTACACTGTACCTTTTGGTATTTTTTGGAGAAGTTACTACATTTGACCTATTCTGAAGCTGTTAATTTTTTTCTTTTTTAAATAAAAGGTTACAGGTTTCATATTGTCTTGTTGCTGTCATAACCACCTGGGCAATATATTGGTTATGTGAATTTTCTGCTATCATTCAAGGGGTTCTTAATGATTAAATTCTTTCTAAACATTCTGAAGAATATACAAAAAAGGAGCCTAATTTAAAGAGAGCATTTGTTGCTTAATATCCTGAAAATTAAGCACTTCCTGAAGTGGCACTGCGTAAGCTCACTTTGCAAGCTATTAGTGTATCTTTCAGTAGCACCGTCTAATTGAGTGGTTTGGTGTGATTATGGTACCAGATCCCTCACTCTGTCATCCCAAGCAGTGGTTTTTGTGTTGCTGTGACATGTTGTGCTAGCGAGAAGTCGCTGTAATCCAAACCTTGCATTACAGGATCAGTGTGAACGCCCTGACAGGCAGCTGTGGTTGTGTTTCCCCATGTGATGCTGGCCTGCACAAGCAGTGGAAGTGCTGCTATTAGTTGGTGGCGCAGGAAAAAAAAACCTACCTGTAAATATATTTGATAAGGTGAGTGCCTTGGTAGCTATTTATGGTCTTCAGTCTTCGTCTGACAAGCTGAGGCCTGTACAGGCTACAGGCTGCGTTCAGACACTTGGCAGCTCCATCATCGCTGCTTTCCCAAAGCGAGACTGGCATTTATTTGGACATTGCAGAGTGTGACCTTTTAAGAACTGATGACATTAAGGGAAAAAACACAAGCAGCTGCTGCGCTTCCTGCCCACTTCAGATACGGGTGTTTTCTCCTGGTTTGCTTCTGGGAGGCCGGTAAACCAAAATTTTTCTGAATTTCAGGAGGTGTACGGGCGATACAGCTGTTGGCAAGGGGAGGAGGCCACCCTCGCACGCCAGATTACCCCCGGCGAGGGGAAAAATCAACCCCCAAAAGAGGATATTTTGGTTGCTTTACCGCCTGCCCTGTCAGGGCCGGCGCATGCGCGCTACCTGTCGCTCGCTGGGCTTTCCCTGCGCCTGCGCAGTGGCGCGCAAAGCCAGAGCAGCGGCGGCAGCGGGCAGTG